TCACTTTCCACGAGATAATTTCAAGCAAACAATTTGTGGTTTGTTCCATGGTAATAAGCGGGGGGGGGGGGGTCACAGAACACTGATTAATTATTCTGTGAAAGTAAACAATCACTAGCACGACAGTTTGCGGCCGACGGGGTGGAGTGGCCATAGATACGTTGTGAAAATCACATCACATGTGGATGTCGAATGAGACGAGTTGTTCTCGTTTGTTGATCAGCCTCGATAATCAGAAGAGTTGCTCACGGGGGGGAGGGCTATTTACCTCATTTATATCCCCTTGGAAACACCACACACACACACTTGACGATGTACTCTAGGCAGAGAGGATAAGTGTTGTTGAACTGCCATTTTTTAAATTACACCAGTCTCTGCATCACACGAGAAAAAATGAAATAAAATGAAAACCACTTTCTTTCCGAAAGCACATATTACATTGGTTTTGTTTGCTCTCGTCCTCTGGTCCATCGTTTTTAGCTCTAGCCCAATGCTACCACTACTTGACAATAGTCAAATGAAGTCAAGTCAAGTCAAGAGGCGGCTTTAGTTCGCCCCATACGGGATAAACATTCAACGACAAAATAATCGGCCATCCGAGCAATATTTCATGGTTGTCATATTTTCCGGGTATACGTTTTGAACAAGAAAAGGAACATTTACTCCATGAGGATTTATCCCATGACATCGGAGATAGTGATAGGGAGAAGATAGCACTGGTACTGGATGATTTGAATCGTTCTCTATCCACATGAAAACTGTAGAAATCTTGGTTTGTGTAACGATTTCGACCTCCAAACGATATATTGACAAGGATGTCTACACTTCCCAATACCCTACCGAAAAGGCATCTATTCTCCTGCAAGCATGCATGCGTGTCGAAACGAATGGACTCGGATACCAAATGAATCACAATGTAACTGCAAATTAAACGACAACTTAGGATACGGGTTGAGAGTACGCACGAACATCAACTGAATAGCATGTACCGGAATCTGGTCGTCTGATTCCGTTGCACCGATCACGATGTCACAAAACGTTGAGCCACAGGAAACGCTGGCGTTTTTGTCAGGCAATTTCTCACGCGGCCCCTAAGCCATCAGATCCCCGATTGATTACATTTGAACCGATTAGCAGGGGACTGATTTCAATCAAATCGAACTGGTCTCAAGGTTATGCCTTTGGATCAAACATCCTAAATAAAATGGTTCATATCCGGTATGCAGAAATACATTCACGAAAGGTATTTTGTGTGTACTGAATCGGCAGATTCATTTGTAAATTTGGATGAGAATTGTACGTAAATCCCAATTGTTTGCCATTATAATGGGGCAATTTTACTTGGAAGTGATTCGGAAACAAAAAGATGAATCTTTATCCGATCATTGGGAAATAAAATTTTATTATACATGATTATTTATATCATGGAATATTTATTTTATTCTCTTTTCTTTTGAAATATTTGATTTTGTTCTAACTGTATACCCATGAGCGGTTTGTTTCCAGCTATCGAAAAGCGGAACACCGGGAAAAGGTTGAACAAAAAAAATGCCACGTTCAGAAAACAAATTAGACAACATTAAGTTACAGAGAACTTTTCAATTTTCATCAAATTATGTATATTTCGGTAGATATCGACAAAGTTGTCGACGCACTAACTTCGCCAATATCGGTATACAAGACCGAACGATGTGATAAATACCGAAGAGAACATCACTGCCTTTACGCCTCCCCCACCCCACGCTAGACACTCCATCCCCCTACCGGGACCCCAGTTAGGCAGTGGCTAATTCGTGGACAACAAGTGGCGCAATATGCCAGCCCGCCAGGCATCAGTGAAGACTGTTCGCCTATCCACTGTGCCAAAACTCTACCGACCATATTTGTCAAAATGAAGAAAGACGAATGCAGAAATGGCGTGCCGTAGACAGCCTGATGTCGACCAGTACTACTCGAGAGATGCTCATATTCATCTCAGTCCCCCATGACAAAAGTGCCGAATCATCTCCCCCGGATGATACCTTACTAGACTTACCTTGGCATCGATTTTTTAACCCCTAATTAAACTGGATCGTAATTTGTGAGAGGACCAAAAAACAGAACACAAAAAATGCTAACCACTGGGAATCTAGGATGTACGCTTTTTGGACGACAAGGATTATTTCTGTACAACCGAAGTATACCGTCGTGTATTCTCTCAATCCCTTTTCGGACACTTGGGTGTTCCATACAATTCTTTTCCAAATGAATGCTAACCTCAGTATCGATTTACGATCCGATCGATATACGACCTTGAACTGAACAAAAAATGGACGCGACCGTTTCTTTCTGATCATCGAACTGCATTCATTACTGAAATGACCAATCACCTACTCACTCTCTCTGTCTTCACGTTTTTCCTCAGGACGGAATTGTCACAACGATCAAATCATCCCGTGCAAAGAATACGCTACTGTTGTACTATTTGATTACCAAAGCATAAAGCATTTTTATTCCGCCAGCTTGTTTATCAATCTGCTTTCATTTGCACACTGCAGAAGCAAAGCTTGACAAGCGATAATCATCATTTACGTGTCCGGCTTTTTCGTTGTCATCGTTGTAAAAAAAAACCAGGATATGACTTTGGCAGTTATCTGAAGCCGCCTTCTGTTGTCCGGGGATGAGATGGTGAAGGATTGCACGGATCGTGGTAGAGGGCCCGGCGGCCGGGGGGGGGAGG